GTAGCAACAAGGTACGTCACAGGCCGCGATCCCTTCTCTTCAGTATGAGTCGGAATAACTCAACCATTTTGTAAGCTGCTTGGTGATCAGAATCATATTGAACCATTTCGACCACTTTGTACACGAGAGCATTGCCGTGCACTTCTTCACCAACATGGTCTTGGATATGGAAGTGTTGTTGGTGTTTACAAGTGTCTGTGTGCACAATTGGCACACCACCACGCTCCGCTAAGCTATACATGGGCAAAAGACGAGTCGAGTTTTACTTGACTCGTTTTGACGAGTTTTTTGTCACACACGAGTCGAGTCGAGGAAAACTCGCCAAGTTTTTTGTGCCACAAAGCAAACTCGAAACTCGACCATTTTACCGAGTTTTTTCAACACTCGGACGAGTTCAAAGAAAACTCGTCCGAGTCAAGTAAAACTCGACTCGTTGTTAAACACCCCCCTTACCCACCACCCCACGAAACCAGTTTAGTGAAAGGAAATGCCGCGCGGATCTAGCGGCGGAATGCTAGGTGCGGGCAGATATGGCGGCGGAATGCTAGGTGCGGACGGATCTAGCGGCGGAATGCTATGTGCGGGCGGATCTGGCGGCAGAATGCTAGGTGCGGGCGGATCTAGCGGCGGAATGCTATGTGCGTTCAGATCTGGCGGCGGAGTGCTAGGTGCGGGCGGATCTAGCGGCGGAATGCTATGTGCGGGCGGATCTGGAGGCGGAATGCTAGGTGCGGCCGGATCTGGCGGCGGAATGCTAGGGGCGGCCGGATCTGGCGGCGGAATGCTAGGTGCGGGCGGATCTAGTGGCGGAATGCTAGGCGCGGGCGGTTCTGGTGGCAAAATGCTTACGAGCCCCAAAAACTTGCGAGTTTTGAAAAAACTTGCTTGGTAGCCGAGTTTTTCACGAGTTTTCTTAACTCGCGAGCAAAACTCGACTCGAGCAACCGAGTTTTTTTTACAAAAAAACAAACTTGAAACTCGAGCTTTTCGAGTCCCTCGAACAAGTCGAGGAAAAACTCGACTCGTTTGCCCATGTATACGCTAAGCAGTGTGCACGCTCACAAGTTTCAACTCATTCTCGTGTCCTGCTATGCATTTCCACCACCACTAACATTTTGTAATGTTTATCCCTTCGTGTTGCTTCCGAATGTCCACATATTTTCACGTTTGTGTGAGGCTCAAATCATTGCCCGTTGTTTTCACTTGTTAAAAGGGCTGTTTCTTGCAGCACTGTTTATGTAGTGTGCTGTTTTTCACTAGGAATATTTTCTTGCTGTATTCAATGTTTCTTTCCACCCATAAACCCTTTTGTATGTTGTATCATCAGGATTCTTTACCGCAATTCCCTGAGTGGGTCTATTCCATCTGCCATCGGCAACATGAGAAACCTCTATTGGTTGTGAGTATTATGAAGGGAATAGGAAAGAGAGCCAACATAACCTCGCACAGGTTCAGAAATTAGAGGGCCTGCAATGGCAACACCAAGTCAACTTGATTTGAGAACGAGCATACATGCTAGGCATGACCAATGTACACGCTCACAAGTTTCAACTCATTCTCGTGTCCTGATATGCATTTCCACCACCACTGACGTTTTGTAATGTGTATCCCTTTGTGTTGCTTCTCAATGTCTACATATTTGCATGTTTGTGTGAGGCTCAAATAATTGCCCATTGTTTTCATTCGCTTTTACTTTTTGAAAGGGCTACTTCTTGCACACTGTGCTATATAGTCGATGGTAACGTTTAGCACCTGTTTATCAGGCACCGTTTAGAGTAGGTAGCTTGTATCACAATCATATTTCACCATGTCATGAGTTCTTTAGTCCTTGTTGTTTGATATCAATCCTCCCTCTCCTACTATTCAGTTGATTCATTTGTTATTCTTGATTGAATTTCATGGCACCTTCCCATGTGCTTGGTAACTAGTGTTTCGCCGTATCTTTTTTTAACACATTTGAAGCCCTTTATGTGTAATCTTACCACTCGTAAAACCCTTCGCATGTTTCACCATAAGGTATCTCAACCACAATGCGCTGACTGGGTCCATTCCATCCACCATCGGCAACATGACAAACCTCAGAGACTTGCGAGTAACATCAAGAGATCATAAAGAGAGCCAACATGACCGCTCACATGCTCATAAATATGAGGCCCAGAGCTGGCAGTTAAGAAAACGTCTGGTCTTTGCTCAACTTGACACAACTCCCAACTCGACTTCCACTCAAAGTGACTTGAATCGACTCGACACATGAGCATGTCTGACCCACGTTGTACCTATCCCAGAAAGGGAGAGTCCAGAAAATGCATCTGCATTGAAGAGTAAACAGCTTTGACTTATTCAAACCGTAACCCACATGTGTCCAACGCGACTCATGAGTCGGGTATTGTGGGTCTCGGTCGAACGGGAACAGGATTTTACTGAAGACCAGAACCCAGCAGGACTTATTGTAGTTGTCATAATCTTCCTAACGCGGGGTTGACTAGCTTGATCCTAGGCTTGTTCAAAACGTGGATTCACCCCTTAGTTTATCAGTTTTAAGGGTGAACTGGGGCCTGCCCTTGGCTATGACTAATGAGAGGGGCTGCAATGCAAGCATGAGCAGCCTAACAAGTGGTTTGTGCCTTTATGCACTCTTGCTTTGATACTTCAACATCACTCTTTCCCAGGTTTACGTGAGCATGGTTTTCAGCCATGCCTCAGGACACCGTAAGGAACTCATAATGCATACAGTGTGTAACACAATGTCGGGTCGCTTGAGCTCATTGAGAAATCTTGCACTGGCTATAGGTTGGAGGTATATATAAAACCTAGTGCCGAATTGTGACTTCTTTGGCTTAACCTTCTTCCGCCCAACAAACATCTTATGTTGATTTTGGAATGTGTTTTGCCTGGTTGGGAAATATCTCACATGAAGCAGGTTATGCATCTCATGCTTGACTGGACTCTGTCACGTTGGGTGAACAAAAATCTCTATTGCAACTTAACCATGTTGACCTGGAATAGCCTAATAAGATATGCGCCCCCTGCCACAATCCACGGCTTTTCCATCTCCTCTGACTGTCTCCTAACATCAACCAATCTTTGGTTTATTCCTTTGTGTTTCCATCCCTGTAAAGGTAAAATCTCTTGCATGTATGCACGGTTAGGTATCTTGTTAGCAATGCTTTGACTGTTTCTATTCTGTCTTTTATCTGTTTCCATCCACTGCAGTGACGTCAGCCAGAACAACCTCACGGGCCAACTCCCTCCAACAATAGGCAACCTCGAACTTCTCTCAAAGCTGTAAGGCACTTAGCATTGTAGAAATGCTTGAGAAATATGTCGCGTAACCAAGGCGGGGCAAGCGGATACAAGCAAAACATGAACCAATTGACAGAATTCGAAGAGGGCTAGCTTGGAGGCGACTTGGGCTGGTCCAAGTGAAGAAAGTGTTCCCCAATGGACTTGGGGTGCCAAATGGATGCTCAACTCACCCACAGTCGAGATAGGGATGTGGGTAACAAAGTTTGCCAAAGCGCGTTTCCAATGTTGGACTTCGTGGGTCCAGGCTGGAACCGCGAACTCAAGGTTGAGAAACGTGCTTAATTGGGGTACCTAGCTGTTGATAAAATTTACTCGAGGAACACCCTATATCTAATATGACCAAACCTTAATGTCTACACTAATTCTATGTACACAGGGTATATGTAATTAGACATACACAGGATACATGTTAGACACAAACACGAGGGCACGCACCTGCTCGGTGCGCCTCGAACATGTTTTGTTTTTGTGGCTCAACGTGTTCAGGCCGAATATGTTCGTGTTCGTTTCGACATCCCTTTCCAACGAACGCAAATCTGCTCGTTAAAAAAGGTTGATGAAACACACTAATCAAGCTCATTTTTTAGCTCGCCTTTTTTCCCAACCCTCCTTCCACAGCCTAGAGTGCAAGCTCCAGCAGCTAGGGTACCTAGACTCTAATGAAATAGTTGTGGTGGAACAAAAATCTACTTGTTTTATTTCCTTCACTCCCAAACGTCCACCAAGTATAGCCACACCAACCTGGATGCCAAAATCCACCATCCAGGATTATGTGTCTTGAAGATTGCTGATATGGCCAACACGAACCAGTTCGCCCCAAACATGCTCGTTTTTGGGCAAACATCAAGGTGTTCACCTCCCAAAGGGGAACACCCGAACACCTTCCTCCACCTTCCTCCCTGGAAGTGTTCGGGCGAACACAAACATGTTCGGTACGCTGAACATGTGTGTTCGATGCAAGGCAAACACGTCACCTTCAAGTTCGCCCCGAACATGTTCACTAGCCCAGGATGTGCATATTCAAGCTCAACTTTTCAACATCCGTGCACTAGCCCAGGATGTGTAGAATGGGCTACTATTTATGATATGGGCGGCAGTTTCAGCAAGTTTATATTTCCAGCTGGTTTCTTCCCTAAACGCCCTAAACACAAGGCAAACACAAACATGTTCGCCCTGAACATGCTGGGCCAGAAATAATCAAGTGTTTGCCCTTGTGCTCATGTCTACTTGGCATGGTAAAGTATTACAACGTGTTACCATAAATCTCAAATAGCAACCTCAAAGCGCTTTAGTTAGAGCTGAAACCCATTCCCGATCCATAGTTTGAAAACACTCCATATGCAGCTGCGGTCACATGCTCTGTTCGAGAACCCGTTTCGCATGCAGGAACATATCCTCGACTGCAATCACATGCCCACCTGACTACAGCGGCTGCGTGGTCCCACAGACCAATTCAAGTGCTTTCTGCAGCGAGTGCGGCTCCTTCTGCACCACATGTGTCAAGCCACCACCAGGTAAGGCTAGCCTTTTGCAGGTGGCTGCTGCTTTCACAGCCCATTTTTGCTTTGCTCTCACTAGCGCTAAGAGGATGAACAGTGCATAGCCACCTACTTAGCTAGCTTTTCCACTGTCAGGTGCGGTAACAATTACAGCTTCGCTACTCCTCAATATGTGCTTCTGTTGTATGCATCCTCATGGCTTTTACTGAAGAATACGTGTTTCCATCCCTCATTGCCTTCCTTTGCTTCCTCCCCCCATGCAAACTGTGCCTGATGCCACATCCACTTTCACCAAGCCAACCGCCATCCTCATGTTTGATTGCCTTTTCCCTTCCCTCTCTCTGTCTTTCTACCCCATAACTATACCCTCCCCATCATCAGTGCTGAAACCCTCCCCGTCGCCAGTGCCAACACCCTCCCCATCGCCAGTGCCAACACCCTCCCCGTCGCCAGTGCCAACACCCTCCCCGTCGCCAATGCCAACACCCTCCCCGTCGCCAGTGCCAACACCCTCCCCGTCGCCAGTGCCAACACCCTCCCTGTCGCCAGTGCCAACACCCTCCCCGTCGCCAGTGCCAACACCCTCCCCATCGCCAGTGCCAAACCCCTCTCCACCTCCTCCAACGTCATCTCCCAGTGAGCCTACAGGCTCTCTCTCCCAAACTGGAGACGGTTTATCCGGCGGAGCCGTTGCTGGCATTGCTGCTGCTGGCACTCTGGCTGTCCTCGTGCTGCTGGTGCTGCTGACCTGGCTTCTGTGGAAGCGATACCGCACCAAAAGGGCAGCAGGAGGAGACAATACTAGCACCAATGTGGATGGCAAGAAATCAATAAATAACATTTTGTTTCAAGGTAAGATATTTACGTTGATGCTGAGCCTAGATGAAGCAATAACAAGGCAAACGCCAGGCAATCGAAAGAAAATCAGAGTATCATCAAAATCAGAAGATCATGAAAAAATCCAAGAGTAAAAGCTACAAATGCATGTGCAATTTCTCACCATGGAACATTCCAGGTCCTCCCAGATGTCAAGCCGTCTTCTTGGTTGGGTCTGACTCATGAGTTTTGGGTTAAAGACTCAGAATCACTGGTCTGAACCTTATTTTTGGGTTGCGACGCAAAACCCCACAAAATTGCATGTAATGGCACTGTCTTTTGCCTGCTGCTCTATGCGAAATAGTCATGAGGAAATGAGACAACCAGACTGGCTGATTTTTTTTATTTTGCAGAATGTGAATCGCCTGGTCCCAAGTTCGGAATAATGGGTCTGGGTCGAACTGGGCAGGATTGGTTCCAGTTGAACGATCAAAATTTAAGCTGGATATCTGGACTGGGGTTCATTGCCAGGTATCACACAGCCACAGGTATGGTGTTGAGATGGCAGTACAAAAATTTGGCGAAACTGTTCACCATGGATGTGACTGAATTCACCTTCTTGTAGAAATTCATCCAGCCTTAACCTCGACTTGTCAGGAATCAACGAATGAAGCAATGGTGCTTGCTGGTCCTTCCTGGGTCATTAGCAATCCAGAGTAGGTGGTTTAAATTCCCAGGCCCCTTGAATTATCGGTCTTCTCTTTCACGTTCACCATCTTTTACATCTCTTTGCAGTACCAAAGAATGAGGATGAGGACCCAGCAGCAGCGGAAGGGGAGGCCGCAGCAGCTGCAGCAGCTGCCGCAGCAGCGCTACCATTACCAGCAGTACAAGGGATGCAGGGTGATGATTTTGTGGTGGAGATGGAGGCAGCACGGCCATACGTGTGTCGAGAGTACTCTTTGGCAGAGATGTCTAAGGCCACAGGAGATTGGGCAGAGGGGAACAGGATAGGAAGTGGTAGCTTTGGGGATGTTTACAAGGGTGTGTCGCCCCACGATTGCAATCAAGCCTGGGCAGTCAAGCGAGCTCGAGTGCTCACGAACGACTTCCAAAGAGAGGTACCATGGTGTGAGTTTTTGTTGATATGTTAGTGGCACGTTTCTCATTAGTTTCTTCTGCCAACCCCAAGCATAGCTGGTGGTCTGATTATTCAATCTCCTTTGATATGTTTACTGTTTTGCCTCTCAGGTGAAGGAGATGGCAAGCAAGCACCATCCGCATCTTGTGCGTCTATTGGGCTATTGCATCGACTTCGACCTCTCCACACGACTCATGGAGCAGATCCTCGTTTACGAGTTCATGCCCAACCACGACCTTGAGAGCTGGATTGGTTCTGGTGTCTCCCATCCTCTTTCGCTTCGTCAAAGGCTTGACGTTCTGATTGGAGTGGCAAAGGGGTTGCAGTATCTTCATGACTTTGGCATTGTGCATCGCGACATCAAACCTGCCAACATTCTCCTTGATGCAAAGATGCAGGCATGTCAATATTGTTGTAGGCCTTGCTGTACATGGTGAAAGATGCCTACTCGTATCCATCCCTTAGCAACTATCATGTGGTGTTTTGCATCGCCTCGAATGCTCTGAATCTTTCACATCAATGCTCTTGTTGTCCATGGGCAGGCCAAGATTGCAGACTTTGGGCTTGTGAAGCTTGGTGGGGGCACTGCTATGGGCACGTCTGTGGCTGCCACTCGAGTGATGGGAACACCGGGCTATGTGGACCCTGCGTATTTCAAGTCTCATAAGGCCACTCCAGCAGCAGATGTGCACAGGTGAGAGATTGGCACAGGTGAGCAGATTGGCACAGGTGAGCAGAGTAGGTTATGCTAGCAAATCCATGCAAGTTATAATGGCATGAGAAAACAGTGAAGGTTAGCAGATGAGCACTTTGGCATGAGAATACTGTTCAAGGAGGCTTCCAAATTTGATGAGAAATGCTCATGATTTTCGTTTCTTCTTGGGAAGATAGGGTTTGGGTTTCGGGCTTGCAGTGATTTCTATGTTTCCTTTGCCTCACACCCAAAGAAGGTCCATGCCTGACATTGAAGCCATTTCTAGGCGTTCTTACCAATCGAGTAGCTTGGTGATGCTTGGTGATGGGGCTTGCGTGACGATCACTTGTGGAATGATTGGGGAAACAAATTTCATTGTGACCATAAAGCTTTTGTACATCTGAGCGTGATTTCAAGTATGATGCCTTTGTTTATTTCTGGGTTGCAGTTTTGGCGTGGTGACGCTGGTGGTTATCACGGCGCGCAAGGCTGTCCATGTAACAGAGGAAAACCAGATCAATCTAAAACAATGGGTGAGAGACAGAAGTGTATCATGCCAAGGATGGCAGATCTTGTAACACAACGTATGAGAAAGCCAGCTGCACTGCGTAGTGAGTTTGCTTGATAATATCAATGTTTTCTTGTTGCCCTTAGCCAAACATATGTAGGCCAATTCATGTTCTCCTTACCTCCATTCCCAACAGGATACATGCTGCAATGATTAAGACGACCACTTACCTTTGAATCACACCTTGTATCTGTAATAGGATTCACCTTCCTATCATCCTGCTTTCTATGTAGCACTAATTTCCTATGATCATACATCATTCCATCAATCTCTGCGTTGCCACATTTCTACCATTCTTCACATGTTTTATTTTAATGTGAACCTCTGTGAACATTTTGTATCACCAAATTCCATGTGATGTATGCATTTAACCTCGCAGGTGGCCCCGTTGGTGGACTCCGGTGCTGTATTGGCATTCAAGGACCCTCACTTGGACGCACCAGATGACTTGGTGCTGCGCTGGGCTCGCCTTGCCCTCTCCTGCACCGCCATGCCTGCAGCCTCCCGCCCCTCCATGAATCAAGTGCTTTGGGAGCTGGTGAAGTTGAAGCAGGAGGCGTCCGGAGCACACGAGGGCCATGTGGGCGAGGCCAAATCTCGCATTGACATGGAGCTTGGGAGCTCCATTGGCTCCTCCAGCTTCACTGCTGAAATGGCCCGTGCGGAGCGCGAGGGGGGCATGCCAAGTGGCTCTTCCACATAATCAAGTTTGTTTTCACATGCAGCTTACGGGTTTACCTTGTGCTTCTGATGCCAATTGTTTGCTTCATATGAAAACATGGTATGGGACACTTAGGAACACTAACACGGGCTGTGGAAGGGATACTGGTAGCATCTTTTGATGAGCACAAAAATGGGACAGGAAAATTGGGCTGTGTAGTACACTGTAGCTTTGGCTTGTCCATGGGCCAGATTTTATGCTTGTCACCTTCTTCCTGAAACTTTTAGCTGTTGCATGCATGATTTTCTGGATTGTGAATTAGATTCACGTATAGGGTTGTTTTGGGGTTTTTAGACAGAATATGGCTCTTCAAACATCAAGCTTGAAAAGCTAAACATTCCTCTGTATATCCCCTATCCCTCTCCCCACTCACATGCCGCCTCTCCTCTCACACCAGCACTCCTTTCATACCCACCACTCCTCTCATACCCACCACTCCTCTCATACCCACCACTTCTCTCACACCCCCCTATCCACTCTTACCCCCCACCCATACCATTCCCCAACCCCAACTCGTACCGTCATCGCCCGGATAGTAGACATATGTCTTATCTCGTACACGGGCAAAAGTGCTGGGGTTGTCTTGTATTTGGGACGATTTAGGGTGTCTTATAACTCTTATAAATGGAGAAAGAACTGTTTAGAAGATACCCCCTCGCTATAAGATTGCCCCTAACCTCTACACTGGCTTAACGCGTACACACAAATAGGTGCCTTATAATGAGGCGAGCTTGTTTATAAGAGACACCCAGATAATAGACAACCCCTGTCTACTATTCAACACTGTCTACTTATAGGGATATGACGGTATTATACTCCCCACTCCTCTCATAAACTCCCTCCTTTCGTAAACCCCACTTCTGTCATGCCTCTATATTCCTCTCATGCCCCTAAACTCCTACCATACCCCCTCTGTTACTCCTCACTCCTCTTATACCCCCCACTCCTCTCATACCAGCCTCCTCTTGAATCCCCCACTCCTCACACATCCCCTCTTTTCATAACCTTCACTCCTTTCAAACCTCCACTCCTCTGATAAACCCGGTTCCTCTCATACCCCTCACTCCTCTCATACCCACCATACCTCTATGCCCCCCATTCCTCTCATACACCCCACTCACCTCATAACCACCACCATTCTATTACCAGCCATGCCTCTCATTCCCCCCTCTCCACCCATCTCCCCACTCCTCCCACACCCCCAATTCCTCTCATGTCCCCAACTCCGTTTACACACCCCAATTATGTCATAGACCCCACTCCTCTCATACCCCCCACTCTTCCCAATCATTTTATTCCAAGTAGTCGCAGTTTCTTATGGTCTTGCTTTCTATGCATGCGCTCCTGCATTGAGCCTTTGGACTCCTGCACCATTGTCTCGTCCACTCCCTCCATGCACGATGGATATTTTGGATTAGAAGAACCTGTGCAAGAGCAAGATGCTTGCGCTAGACTTCTAGTGCTGTTTTGAAATTATAAAGCCTGTTCATAAAAAGTGCTACCGTACCGACCATAAGCTTGATAGATATTTGTGAATTGTGCATATAAAAATGGTGTCTTTGATTAGATCTTCTAGCCTGATTTGTCACTGACTGTGCTCACACACGTGACATCTTCCAAGCTAACCAATTTGTAACATTTCTGATGAATTGCTCTCTATTCTAGATGAAAAGACATCATTCAAACAAGGCACTGCAGATGGTTGTGAACCATTTTAATTTGGAACAGTGCAAGTTACTGTGTTGTGGAATGGATGGAGCATGCACAGTCCAAGGTTAATGAAATCTTTATTGATACAATTTGTAGTTTGAACCATAATGTATCCTTGCAGCTTGACTACAAACTCAGCCTTCAACCGCCAAGAAATCATGAACGTACGCTTATTATGGCAGGAAAAATGGCAGGGAGGTGAGGAATCTGAATGCTAAGAAGTAGGGCACACTTCCTAATAATGTACCTAACCTCTCATGAGAGCCAGTTCAGCATCGAGAGTCCCCTGCTCATTGTTCTGGGTGCCAATCTTGGCCTTGTGGCTGCTAAATATGGCTTGTTGGGGCTAAAGCGCCAATGGTACGTAGGTCAGTTGGTTGCTGACGGTAGGGTGGGGGAGGACAAAGGGTAGTGTGGGAGATTGTGGGTATCTCGTGTTTGTGGAAGGCATGGCCCTGCATCATACCTGCACCCACGACTGGCCTCAGACTGACATGAGGCTGACATGAGACTGACCAGAAACTGACCAAAAGACTGACCCGTGTTTGACCTTAGACTGACCTGAATTTGACCTTGTTTGACCTAAGACCAACCTGAAACCCATACGAGACTGACCTTAAATTTTCCTGAAATTGACCTGAGTTTGACCTGAGAGTGACCTGAGAGTGACCTGAGAGTGGCCTGAAAGTGATATGAAACTCTCATTATGAGAGTTTCTAGGGCGATCTGAGTGTGACCTGAAAGTGACCTACGACTGACACAAAACCTTCTCCCCCCATGTACTTGACTGGCGAAGCTAAATAAGGCATTGAACACAAAGGGCGAGCTACACGGGCCAGGGTTGTCGATGAAAAGGAAGAGGCAGATGGGCGCTGCACTGTGCTGCTCCTGACGTGTTGCTGGTGGGGGGCGTGAGGATGATGGTGCCATTGAATGGTTGCGCTGCTGCACCTGCCAGGGAGACTGCTGTTGTCTGTGATGATTTGGTTGAAGGGAGAATTGCAGGGTTATCCAGAGCGAGGCAAGGCAGATGGGTGCAAACGGAACGGAAGAAATATGCTTGGATGTAAATAAATCAACACCAGGAGTTCGAGAGGCTTCAATTGCGATGCAGCTGTAATGGTAACAATTACAAGGAATGAGCAGGGTATGCAACGCAATCAAAGGGCACAACAAGAGAGTGCCATCTGCTTCTTACGCCAGATCACTCAGTCTCTCCCAAAACTTGTGTATACACACCACTGTAGGAGCACAAAGGCAGTCCAGCCTGGTTGTCAAAGTTGCTATCGCAGGTGTATACTGATTCCTGCACAGACTCACTGAAGGAGCACATGCCATGCCCGCTACACAGGGGTTGGCAATCCCCAGCAGAAACCCCACAGAACGCACCACACTCCTCTGCACTCCTCTGCTCCAAGTAGTCTCCAGGCGCCCGGGATGCGTTGAGCAGACAATGCTCAAAGGCGTTGCCAAGGTAGGTGTGGTTGGCCTCGGGCGGGATGATGGTCCCGTGGAAGAAGAAGTTGCGGTGGGTGTAGGGTAGGTAGGGCGGGAACTGGTTGGCTAAAGGTAGGGCGACAGGGGCATGGCAGTCACCCTGTCATTGGTTGGCTGACATGTCACTGTAAAAAAGGGGGGGCGAGGGCAGGGAGAGCCAAGGCGAGGAGTGGGTGGGAAAATGGCGCATGAGCGGGGGTGTGACAAGAGTGGGTGAGAAGTGAACACGCACAGGGTGGTGCAGAGGAAAGATGTAGTGTTCTGTTGGAAGAATGTGTTTGATGCTGGTCAGCAATTACCAGCGCGCAAGCAGATGAGCCTTGAACATACAGATAAACCATCGGACCAAAGGAAGGGGCTTGGTGTAAACCATCGGACCAAAGGAAGGGGCTTGGTGTAAACCATCGGACCAAAGGAAGGGGCTTGGTGTAAACCATCGGACCAAAGGAAGGGGCTTGGTGTAAACCATCGGACCAAAGGAAGGGGCTTGGTGTAAACCATCGGACCAAAGGAAGGGGCTTGGTGTAACAAGCATTTTCAGTCCTATCTGTAGTCCTCCTTCCCAATCCAATGCTCTCTTAGAATGGGCTCTTTCAGGACCCCCTCAACACACCAAGGCAAGTAACAAATGGCACATGGCCCATTGGCACATGGGACCTGGGACATGGTGGCAAATAGCACATGGTGCATTCCATATGCGATTCCCCCCATGCACGTGCAGCGTGACAAGGTTGGTCATATTGCATGTGATGCCGTACACATCGCCAGAGAGGACGTTTCTGTTCAGGTAGCTGGAAGAAAGCACATCCGAAGACAACTCGTGAACGCGGCGTGCATGGCATGGCAGCACTTGGACTCCCATCTAGCAGGGTTGAGTGCGCTTCCTAAGGCCCTCAGCGGAGGTAGCATGGAGTGCTGTTGTTGCATGCAGTTGCGTTGCATACAAGCATGATTTCAACTACATGTCAAGGTTGGTAACTTGGATAAGTGTGATTGGACCAGACGCCAAGGGACACTGGATACAACAGCAAGCAGCCAGAGTGCACACACAAAAAGCCCAAGTTCTGAAGGAGAATGATCTGGGGACCGTGCCCCTGAGCCCCACACCCTCCAGCTACCTGACCCCACAGCGTGGAAGACGTCGTGTGCACACGAAATACATCACAGACTATGATGATGGAACGATAAGGGAGTCCTTGAGTGAACAAGAGAGAGCGCATTCTATTGCAGTCTGCATATATGTCTTTAACACGCAATGTCTCAGTACCTTTCTGATGACCCTTGTCCTCAAAGCTACTGACATAGACTAATGCAAAGCCAAGGAGACTCAGAATCATACGTGCACAGGAGGTTGCACCAACAACACACCAGGCAAGCAAGGTAAACACCAAGAGAGAAGCTACAGGGATGGGTTATGGTTGGCGAGATGTCAAGGTGACTCAGGGTTCCAATAGAGGGGCTAGGTTCCACCAATGTTTGACCGTGCCAGCTCCCTGTAAATACATGGCTTGATTAAACACTAGGTTGGGGATAAGAAAGGAGAGCATGATTTCAGCATGCTACACGTGTCTCCTATCGTGATGTGATAGGCCTGACAAGTAGCACGAGCGCTACAAACATCAGAGCGGACAAATGAGAGAGCTACCAGATAGTGGGTCTCGGCGAAATCCATTATCATAAACCACTGCCTCTGTCCTTAGGGCAGTGTCCTTATGAAGCAGGGGCCAAAACAGGGGAGTGGAGGTCCGTAGACTAAAATCTCGTTCAGGATCCAT